TTTATGTTTAAAGTGGAAAATTAGAGATAATTTAATAATTTGAGAGTGAATTATTTCCTCTCAGGTGATCACTGAGACATAACGGAATTAGAGTTTTAGATACGTTTTAGTCGCTTTTTAGTTGTTCATTACAGAACAAGGCCACCAGCCTCTAATGTAAATCAATCCCTTGAATACCTCTCGATTAAAAATGTATATAAATAAATAAAAAAAAATGGGGGAAAAAAAAATTCTCCATTTTTATAGGTCAATTTTCCGATTGCCTCAGGGTACAATAGAAAAAAAATGTATAATTGCGGGTATTGAGACCGTTATATGTGATTGCACGAGAAGAATTTATTTTTTTCATTCGAGTGAGCGCAGAAAATCTCCATAAATTGGAATAGGTGAATAATTATCGCTGAAATGAGTGATCACCTGTGACGTGTAGTAGAAAAATAAACACCAGAGGCACTGGGGAAATTTCAATCCATATATTGTGAGTAAATAAACTAGTAATTAGATATGAACTTCGGTAAAAGTTGAATGCTCGATAAATACTGGAGAAATAAGTCGCCGGGCAGGGATTATTAACTCCTTGATAAGGTCTATTTTTTTTTATCATTGAAAAACAGGGAACAGCCATCAACTGACGATTACGATTGAAAAATATTGTTGACCATCGGATAAAATTCATATGCCGATTTTTATCGACGAAAACAAAATTAAAGTTCATGTGAGGGAATTTTATCGCATTATTTACCTGAAATACGACCGAAACAAGAGAAAATTATTTGCGCTATTTTTTATTAGTCCAGACAGAAAAATGGGTATTAAATGAAGATTAAAAATCTCTTATCGGGTTTGTGCTTTAGTGTCGAGACCGATTTAATCGGTTTTATTTACTTTCACAGCTGCTACTTTGTGTGGATTATTTATTCATGTAGTTGATAAAAAAAAGACCGATAGTTTATTTTCTGTCGGGTTGTGCAAATATTCGAAGGTAATCCATCATTTATTTATCAATAATTAAACAATATTGCCATAATTTAATGAATGGATCTTCATTGCAATTTTATCGTCAGAGATGTTTTATTTATTAAAACAATCTTTGATGATATCCTTGACAAGATAATGAAGTCGCTCTGATGAATTGATTTGATGGATCGATGAATAGATGAATTTCCAGTTTATCTCGCTCAATAAATTTTATTTGTTTAACAAGAATTGCTAGAGTCCTTTCCAATTGCAGAGTTGAAGGACTTATTTGGAGTTTTCTACTCACCAATTAATGTCGTTCGCTCAATCTTACTTTGATCATGGATTTTATTTTTTTATTTAATGAGAGATTTTATTTAACGAGTGACACTGACTCCAGGAAAAATTGTTGGCCGTTCGTTACAGTCTCTCGGTGTCGACTAAAAATGTACGTAACACCCGCTCTCATGCATCACCAATGTCACAGGGACAATTACCCACCTCCCACCCATTCAACATCATTTACCAGGTTTACTGAATCTATCCACCTGTTCACTACCCACGTCATCGAGGAAATTCGCACATTTTTTGATGGAATTCCTGGTAAAAAGTCATTATTACGACTTACGTCATCCTCAAATAAGAAATGAGTAGAGAAAATGCCATTCACTCGATACTATTTCCAAATATTTGTTTTTGCAAATGAGAGAACTTTTTTTTTCCAAGACTCAAAGCAAAAAAGTCAGTTTTACAATTATTAAAAATCTTTAAATTGTCAGTTGTCAGTATATAATATTTTTTCTTGGTTAATTAATTAATTTATTCATTTTTCCTTAAGAAAAACCACTCACAAAAAATCTAGATATTAATAAACTTTTCTATTCATATTTCATAATTTCATTGGAAAATGAATATTATAAATAATTAAAGCGAACAACAAAAATTTGCAATAATTCGGAATATAATGAATTGATTATATTCAATTTTTCAATTTATCCATCTTCTCGCTAGCAAAAAAAAACAATTACCATAGATCCAAATAAAATGTTTTAAAAAATGATTTATTTCCTATAAAATACAAAATATATTAATGAACTTAACTATTACTGCTAACAGATTTTTTAAATGATTCTGGATTGGTGGCACAGCCAGGACACGTATGCAACGACTCGTGAATGAAAATTTCGCAATCAAGGCAGAACGTCTGAGTGCATTTATCGCACGTGTAAACCTAGAACAAATAAACGAAAAATATTCTCAATGCAAAATTAGCATTCCTAAACATTTACCGAGAGTCGTACCTTCTTATCAGCTTCTGAAATACTCCTCTGGCAGCCGTAGCAGTGGTTTGAGGTTTCCTGCGTTGGTATTTCCTTGAAAGTCTCAACGGGGAAGAGATAATGATAAGACCTAGCCAGATGTGGTGCAGAGACGAGAGTCAGACCACACGATTTACATTCCACTGGCAATTCGCAGTGTTTTGATAAACATTGAGGGCACAGGTACCCAGCAGACGTCAATTTTCCTGATTCGTCTGTGTTTTCTGCGTGACTGCATCAAAAATCGAATTCAATACCTCTTTTCATTTAATAAACATCAACAATTCGGTACCATAACAATAAACATTCAAGATAAGACCATTTTTTAGTCCCTATCGATGATTTTCTTTTATTATAGAATATAGGATTTTTCTTATTGGTCTTTCCATTATTATTAGATTTATTATAATCGTGAGACGAATCGATCTTTGAGCGAGAATCAAAGGTAGAAGGAAGGGTTGCCCGATTCTTTACGCCATTTTGATGCTTGAAAGGACGAATACCAAAATGGCAGCAGAAACTGTTATTTCATTCAAGCTTTGACAACACCAGCTCTAATTTTCTAGAATTTTTCACAGGATCACAGGAAAATTGAAGAGTTACTCCATTTTCTCGCCATTTTGTTTCTTGAAATGGCGACCACCAAATGGCGGAAAAAGCGAGGTAAGAATCGAATACTAAATAAAAGAGATGGTGCTCTTATTCAATTTTATAATTCAATTCTAATCAGCTAAAAAAAATGATGTAACATTCTCGATTTAAATCGATTGTTCTCGAGATAAATCGATAATAGAGAAATATATTGCATCAGAAATAGGATATTTGGAAGGAATATATTCGAATAAAGTTTTTGAGATATTTTTTTAGAAATAGGGTATTTACCACATGCAGACACTCATGGCTGTGTCAGTGGGTGTGCTGTGTAGGGCATGATGTGGAAATCCCATTTTAACGAGAGCTGCCTCGAGTCTCGTTGCAGCTGGTGGAGGATCCACATGGGCTTTCAGTTGCTCCAGGAAGTGCTTGTCGTCGAGGACAACTCCATGCTCACCCCCAGTGCTGGTTGCCATTCTCTTGCAGACATGAAGCTCTGCTGCTAGACCAATAACACTGCACCTCACTCCTTCGGTTTTCAAAGACTGAAATCAAAATTTTAATCGGAAAATTTTTCTTAATTCTTAAAAACAATTAAATTTCACCAACTAATGAATTCTCCGAATTAATCACATCCCATTGCATTTGATTTCTAATTTATTCCCTAGATTTGATATATTTCTGAATTTTTTTAGCTGGTGGAGGGAAACAGAATTGAAAATATTCGAAAATAAATAATAATAATAATATAAAAAATACCTGAATGGTCTCAGTGATATCCCCAGGGTCACAGGTCGTCAAAGACCCCATGATGACGAGGATTTCTCTGCTGGCATGGCAAGGAAGGTTTTTCAAGGACTTCAGGGCCAACTCCAGGGAATTCTGAAGCGATGGCTCCCCAGTGATTGAAGTGGACTGACTGAGACCCTGAATTTCCTAAAAAAACAAAACAGAAACTCCAATTCTTTTATTCCATAAATTTCTGCGACTCCACTCACCTTTATATGCTTCTTGGAGTTCCCAGACAATTCACTGAGCTTCTCAGCCCTTTTATTCCTCGTCACAATGACCCCCAATTGACTGATCGGATTCTGATAGAAAAATTCTTCAACGAAATCTCCCAGGAGCTGTAAACAATTCAAGCGTTAACTCTTTTTCTTTTTCAATTATCAACATATTACACATTATTATTATTGTATTATTAATAATTATATACAATTCAATTATGAATTTATCAAATTAAAGATCATTTATCGTTTATAAATGTGAGAGAGAAGAGCTAGTGGTGACGGGGAAAACAGAAAAACCTTCAATAACTTCGAGATAATTAATTTGCAATTAATTAATTCATTGAAATGTTTACAAACCTTTATAGAACACAGGAGTCTGGTAGGTTTGAGATCCTGTGTTCCCATGGCCTCGGAAGCATCGAGAATAATGAATAAATGCCTCATCATTCCCAACCTGGTGCCTCCACTTTTATCCAGCTGTCGTTTTCTCTTCGCCTTGTGGATGATATCAGCCACTGATGCCTCCAGACCCCCATGATCGTCTTCCTTAATCGCTTCCCTTCAACATAACCCCAAAAACTCAAAAACAAATCCTTCATAATCTGGCAATTCGCTGTATCCATTAATTTTCTGGCATCAATTGATTAAAATCAAAAATATTCACCAAGTTTTCTCGTAACCGGTCTCCCAGCGGTACTCCTTGGGTCCCTCTTCGTCTCCCATCGTCAATCACTGCTGAATGATAATTCAACACTGGCAGCAATGAAAACTGTCAACAAACAACTCTAACCTTGAAATCGTTGGAGGAACTCCTTTGATAATTTGAAAATAAATGAACAAATGCAGTGGTCGGGTTGTTGTCACTGGTCTAGGGGTCGTTTCCCCTCTGGGGGTTGGAGTAAGAAATGCCTGGAATTCCCTGATCAGTGGAAAATGTGGAATTCAGAAGCTGAAGGAACCGGAATATGAAAAATTGCCATGTCGGGTTGGTGAGTTTCATAAAAATATGTCTTCTATTTCTTTAATTTTAATAAAAAATGTTTAATCATAAAAAATCATTAATTTTTTTTTACAAAAAAAAACTTAAAAATTAACAATTAAAATATGTTTATTAACGTATTAATCGATATTTTTTATTCATTTGTTAATTGCAATTCATGCAACATTTATTATATGGATATTGGTATAATAATAATAATAATAACAATGATAATAATAATAATAAGAGACTTTCATTTCTTTATAAATTAAATCGTAGCTGCACTGGTACCAAAGGGTTCAGGCACCTCAGACCTGGACTTGACCTCGAAATTCACCACGAGTGAGCTTCGAACCATGTGTCCAGCCACAGCGTACGCCCTGGTGGCTGCTGAAGAGGCCCTGAACGATGCTAATTGGTTACCCGAAAAGGAGCTCGATAAAAGAGACACTGGAGTGGCTGTTGGTATCGGTATGATCGACCTGATGGACGTCTGTACGACGTACGAGGCCCTCAAAAAGGGCTACAGCAAAGTCAGCCCCTACTTCATACCCAAAATTCTTCCCAACATGGCAGCTGGCCAGATCAGCATCAAGTATGGGTTCAGAGGTCCCAACCACGCCGTCTCCACGGCCTGTGCCACTGGAGCGCATGCCATCGGTAATTTTTCAGGAAAATTTCTTCGAGATGTATATTTTTCTTGGTGGAGAAAAATCCCTGTGACTTGATCATGAGGATTTTTCTGAATTTTTGTATTAATCAATTTTTCTTTAGTTTTTCTATGGAAATAATTGGTGTCCAGGTGATGCTTATCGCTTCATCAAAGGAGGTGACTCCTCGGTGATGGTTTGCGGTGGTGCAGAGGCGTGTATCAGCCCCCTAGCGATGGCGGGGTTCTGTCGTCTGCGCGCCCTCTCCACAAATCACAATGACACCCCCCAGGAGTCGTCTCGCCCCTTCGACAGGGATCGAGATGGTTTTGTGATGGGAGAGGGAGCAGCTATTCTCGTCCTGGAGGAGTTAAACCACGCACAAAAGCGAGGAGCTCAAATTTACGGGGAAATCCTGGGCTACGGTATATCAGGGGACGCCTCACACCTGACGGCACCCTCGGAGGACGGAGTCGGAGCGATCCTGGCGATGGACAGAGCCATTAAGAACGCGGGGATCGATCCCCTTGAGATCACCTACGTGAATGCTCATGCCACGTCAACTCCTCGAGGGGATGCCATCGAATTGAAGGCTATTGAGGCGGTTTTTGGAGATCATAGCAAGAATGTTACGGTTTCCAGCACAAAAGGGGCACATGGCCACCTCCTGGGGGCTGCTGGTAACCTTGAGGCTCTCTTCACCCTTCTAGCTATCAAAGAACAGGTCTTTCCTCCCACCCTCAACCTCTGTAATCTGGATTTCGAGGGGCACCTGAACTTTGTGCCCAATGAGAGAAAAAAGTGGAAGGAAAACTCCAAGAGAGTTGCCTTGAAAAATGCATTTGGCTTTGGTGGGACTAACGCCTCCTTGTGCATTGCCCAATTTGTTGATTAATTTTTGTGAATAAATATATTTGTTTAAATCTTCGGTAGTACAGCGGCAGTATTTCCTACCACCAGGATTCATCATCTTCACATGGGGAAATAACATCAGGTAATTCATTTTTTTTTCTCAAGAAAATTTTATTCGAGCGCTCGCATCTTCAATTACAATGCATTCGAAAAGAAATTTCGATAATTCCTTCGATGAAAATGAAAAAAAAAAGTTTCCAACAATTATCCAAAATATACAACTTCGTCTCTAATGAATCCCCAAGCGGTAAAAACTAAATGTAAAAAAGATTTATTTTTTTTCGCCATTCGATAGGAAAAAATAATCATTTCGGAATGCCATTGCTGGATTTATAATGGCTACATAATATAGCGAAGCGTTTACGTAGATTTTTCCTCAACTCCAAACGCTTCTCATGAACTTGACAAACACGTGAATGGAATTCTTGAATTTCCTCGAGTGGAATGAGACTCTCATTACCCTCGTCATCGGATAATGAGTCTTGCAGCATTTGTGTTAACGTTGGAGTGAACTTTTGTTCCCTAATGAGTAAAAGAGGTGAAATGGAATGATTCAATTTGTCGTTTCCTAGATTATCTTGACAGTCGCCCTCGTGCCCACAACAGCCCTCAGAACAGGCGACCTCTGAGCCCTCTGGGGTACTCGGCATCGAGACACTACTTGCATTATGCTCTGACGAGTAACCACAATCCTGGGAGGACTGAGAGGGCTCCGAAGACGCTCTGCTACCCTCACTCAATTTCGATAGCTTTATCCATTTTAATAATTCCTCCGTGGACTCCAGGTCTTTGGGGCACGTGCAATTGTCGTCTTCTATGTGGTCCTCAGGCTTTTTGTGGTTTTTGGCACAAGGCTCTGGTATTTTCTTTGATTTCGAGGCCTTTGGCTTCTTCGGAGACTTCTTCGGTGGCGCACAGGTACGGGGTTGGATCTCAGGGGTTGGCTGGGATTTCTGGAAATTATCATTGTTAATTTTGAAATTAAATGGTCTCCTCGATTGTGGGTTTTCACTCACCTTTTGGCTAGGAGTTTCTGGACAACTACAATCGGGCTCTGGGAGGCTGTCCTCCTTCCCCACGTCGTCCTAAGAGAAAACATTTTTATAATGAAAATATCAGTCGTTCTGACTGAACCTTTTGCAGTAGAATACACACGCAATTTCCTCTTACCTCTTCTTTTTCAAGAGACTCTCCCTTCTTCTCCTTCTTCTTTCTCCGCTTCAGCCTCAGCTTCTCCTTCTTCTTTTCTTTGACGATCTCCTCCCTTGTCAGCTCCTCGTAGAGTATCTCTAGCTGCGTGATTCCCTGCTTGACCTCGACTGCCATCTGAAAATTCCTAGATAACGCATCGATGGCAACAGCAGCGAAGACTTTGCAGACAGTCTCCTCTTCTCTCAGTCTCCTGTGAATCCTGTGGAGTTTTTCAGCCACGCAAATCCCCAAGCACGTGAGCACCTCCTCCTGGGCAATCTCTAGGGTTTTAGCATGACGTTCACGCCCCATCACCTCTGGTTGAGCCCTACCAATCAGGGAAGTGATGTAGTCTGAATTTGTGGGCAGGTGAACATGATTCTCTGGTACGCAACGTTTTATTCCTGCGTAAAGAGCCGGAACGTAGCCCTTCTCACGGATAGTATCTGGATCTTTCGAGAGAAGGGACGAGGCCAAAAGGACTTTTGTCCGACACTCCGAGCAGAAACGGTGTTTCTTCAGGTATGTGTCGAGGGTTGTTTCTAGGGTTTCTTTCTCTACTACTGTCAACTCCTGGCGGCACGGCGATTTCATCACGTCCCACACCTCCCTCCAGGCACCAGAGGGTGGACGGGTACGTTGCACCTCCAGGGAGTGGAGCACACAGCGGCGTGATTTTTTACTACGGGGCTGTTTCTCCAGGAGAGCGTTTAAACGAGAACTAGAAGATTCAGTTTTTTTCGTTTTGGAAATGGAAAAAAATTGGATTTTTTTGGTTCTTTGGGGATATTTACCTGTGACCTTGGAGCATAGTGCATAATAATCGGGGTGACTCGAGTACTTCATTACTCAGGGTTATCATTCCGTCCTTAGTGACTATCAGTGGATCGAGGGCTTGATGACCTGAGGTCATCACGTCGTAAAAAAGTCTTTCCACACTTCTTCTGCAGCCAACGCATGGCACAGCCTGTCTCAGGATATCCAGCATGTCCTTATGGGAGACCTCGAAGGAGCCCTTCACTTCCTCTTCTGTTAGGATGTTCAACTTTCGGGTGAATTCGTCCAGGTGTTTACCTCGGACTAGGGGACTCTCGCAAATGTACCCTAGACTGCTCAAGTCCATGATCATCTGGATGTCAGAATAAAAGGTTTTGTTTTTTCTATTATAACTCGGAACTCATGTGTAATGTAACAATTGTCTAGAGGACTTTTCTGTAGAGAATTTCAAGGGCTACAAAAATTTCTTCATCGAATTTTCTCTAAATATCTTAGATTTTTTTATTTTAATCAATGAGTTACAAAAAATATAGCTGTTTTGAAACTCGAACAAATTGTCATCTGGTCTTCGTGTAATATCTCGAATCTCAATGGAGATGTCAAAATAGTATAAAGGACTTTTTTGTAGAGAATTTCAAGGGTTAGAAAAAGTTCTCCACAAAAATTTCTGTACCTCCCCCAGATTTCCCAATATGCATACCCAAATAAAAAAAATCGAATAGAGATCTTTTCTCATTTCACAAATTTGTCATCGATCTTTCGCGAAATATCTCAAAGGCCAATGAAGATATAAAAATACTGCAAAGGGCTTTTTTGCAGAGAATTTCAAGATCAAAAAAACGCGTCCCACAAAAATTTGCTGATTTCCTCCCCAAGTCCCAGGAATCCCGTGAAAATCGTTGAAAACAATATTCTCCTCCCAAAAATCCCTGATTTTCCACAGTTGAGGTTATGTCCCCCTCGGAATACCGTTAGAGCATAACCGACATGAATCCCTCGACGAAAAAATCCGTAAATTCCCCTGGATACAACAATTAAACACTCACCGTCAGCTGATGATCAACAATCAAAGGCATCTGTCGTTTCTTGAGATTGACCGGTTGGTCCGTACGCCAAATATCGATGAGTTTCGCCATTGTCGAACAATTAAAATCCGAATAAACTCCCGAGATAACTACCCCCTACTGTCGAGCCCCCAACAACAATTAATAGTCGTTGACAAGTCGATTAATTCCCAAATCCTCTCGATTGTCTCGATTGTTCCCTCGAATTCCGTTATGTCACGAAATTTATGATCAAATCGAATGGGAATAATTGAGGATTTCTACACTATCGTATACGTTGCAGGTCTGCCATTTGCAACTGAAGCGACAGCCTCTCTATTACCCACTTCCGCCCTTTTACCCCCCACTACAGGGGAAAACTCCCACCCCTTGCTTGTTTACGTCTTCTTCAAGGAAGAAATGGTTTTTCAATAATATTCTTGAAAAGAGGCATGCCACTGGAATTTTTATTGGAAACTTTTTGTAGAGCAGAAAAAGACCTGCAAAAAAGCTCTCATCGATTTTTTTTCCATTTCTATTAGATTTGGAGATATTTTCAAAAAATAGAAGTCAAAATTCAAATCTTAATTTCAAGGTTGTCGCAAGAAGAAGTGATTCTTGGGGAATATCTCGTAATCTGTCGGAGATAGAGAATTTTTGTGGGAAACATTTTTGTAGCTCTTTTCCTGCTGTACAAAAAAGTTCCTTATAAAAATGTTCTGTCTCTTTCAGGTGTTGAGATATTCGAGAAAAAAGATCGGACGAAATAATTTTAAAAAATTTATTTCGATATAATTAATTCTGCCATAATCTGAGGACTTTGTCCTTTCCCCCAGAGGCGACCCTGAGTCCATCTGGGGACCAGTCAACCGCGTAGACCTCGTCGGCATGTCCAGGGAGGTCCTCAGCAAGTTTTTTCGTTTTCATACTCCAGACTTTGAGAGTCGAATCCGAAGAACCGGAGACAAGGAGTCTAGAATCTGCACTCCAAGCGATGGAGTACACCGCCTGAACGTGTCCTCTCAGGGAAGTAATAAATCGTCCATTGGATGCCTCCCAGAGCTTGATGGATTTGTCAAAAGAAGCAGAGGCGATTATCCTGCCATCCGGAGAGAACTTGACGTCATTGATAAGCTGTTGGTGGCCTGTCATCCTCGCCAGGGATTTTTTCTCCTTCTCTGGGGCCCAGAGGAAGAGCGTAAAGTCATCAGACCCTGAGACCAGACGTTCTTCTCCTACTGCCTCATACCTCTTCAGGGCCAGGTCCTCGGAACTACCTGAGGTTATCAGGTCAAAGGGACCAGTCCTCAGGACGTAATCCACGTTCAGGGCCAGGGTATTCACCCAGTGTGCGTGACCCTCTAGAATTCTGCAGAGAATTCCCTGGAAATTCCGGAAGAAAAAAATTTTTTTCGTGGTTTCAAGAGAGATTATCTTGGGGGTGAGAGGTCTTAGGGAGAAGACCAAAGGAGCTTTTCTGTAGAGAATATCCTGAACTTCAAAAAAGGTGGAATAAAATTTTCTGTGGAATCATTCGTTTTCGTGATACGTTCAAAAAAGGGACTGCATCTGAGTTGATGATAGCTAATGAAGAAATGATTTCTTACGTCTTCTGCCCTCCATACTCTGATGCTCCTGTCCTGCGATCCTGAGTAAATGAGTCCTCTTCCACCCCATCGAACACAAGTGACACTCTTGGTGTGTCCTGCCAGGACCCTCGTCGTCTGGGACAATTTGGTGTCCCAAATTCTAAGATCAGAGTCTTTGGAAGCACTCACGAGGTATCTGCACTCTTTATTCCTGTGGTAGGGCTCCCAACTGATGGAGGTCACCCACATCTTGTGTCCAGTCATGGTCTTCCCTATCTGAGAGCCTGTCAGGGGATCCCACTGGATTATAGACCCATTTTTACAAGCTGACACGAGTTTTGTGCCACAAGGTGCCCAGGAGATGCAGAGAACCCAGTGTTTGTGTCCTGTACACGTGAAATGTGGTGTCTGGGTGTTTATATCCCAGAAACGGACTGTTGTGTCACCAGAACCACTCGCCAGGTGCTTTCCATCAGGAGAAAATGCCACGGAAATAACTGCCTCTTTGTGACCTGAAAAATCAAAAAAACACATTTTCTTAATTAATTATTATTTCGAGAACAATGACACCCAGAAAAAAATGCCGTGGAACTTTTTTGTAGATCAGGAAATTTAGAATAAAAAAGTTCTTATGACTTTTTCCTGTGGGATCGCTTGTTCCTGAGAAAAATCGATTGTGAACGGAATTAAAAGAATTCATCAAATGTCACAATTTTTTGATCACTAGATAAATTACCCTCGATTGATCCTGTACACCTGGTGACAGCCCTGACCTTGAATACAGCTTGTGGCTGGTAGATGATGTCCACGACGTTTTCACTGATGGAGAAATTTTTTCCCAGGTTTTCACCGAGAGTTCCAGTAACTTCCACATCATCAATGAAGAATGCCAGAGGGACAGGATCTTCCTGTCCCAGGAGTGCATTGCAGATCAGCTGGAGCTTATCAACACTGACATCCAGGGGAAGATCGAGAAGACCCCCTGGAAGCTCCTCCCCAGTGTCCGATTTTAATCTGGAGAGAACTGTCCTCTTGTCTTCCTTTGAATCATCTTCTAATTTTCTCTTATTCATTTCTTCTACCCTCTATTCCAATCTAGTCCAATTTTTAGGTTATACCACGAAAAGTCTCGACTCTCGAAAAATTTCCGTCAATTCTCCCAGTGAACACTCGAAAAAAACACCTGGGGGGAGGAAATTCTTCCCTCCGTCCACCGGAAGTCGAATATCCAAAACCTCCAATTATTTATTCTTTCGCTTTTTCCTCAACACTTGACACTAAAACAACAACCACGTGGGTTTCTTCGACATTTTGAAATAGAATTACCCCCACCCCTGGCCTTGGGAACAGTCAGCTGATGTCCCCCTCCCCCACAAAACTTCAAACTTCAAAAATGAAATAAATGTTCTTAAAAAATCCCGTCAACTTTTCAATCATGCAATAATTATCTCCAAATAATTTTCTTCATTTTCAGAATTCTTAGAATTTTCTCACCATTTCTCTGAGTGAATAATTAATTAAGTACTCAATTAATCAATTTAATTAATTAATTTCTTCGAATCCTGAGAGATTGGCGAGCTGTCAAGGCCAGTGATAAGATGAATTCCATATTTTTCCTCATCTTTATGCCAACAATTTTATGATTTCCTCGTGAATTCCGGGTTTCGGAGAAATTCCTCCAGGTGGCGTCCAGGGACCGCCAATAATCGAGCACCTGGGGGCATTTTATTCGTGAGAAAAAGCTTCGGCGTCGTGCATTGGTACCCGAGACATCAATTACTTCGCCAATAATTAATTCCCCATCAATTCCGCATACTCTGGATTATCGCGATTACTTCAAGACTTCCTGGTGATTCTGCGGGTATTTGTGATAAATTCTCGAGGTCTAGGAGTCGAGACGATGTGGGTGAGTCTTCTGAAGGTTTAGGAGAACAAAAAAACGGCGTTGGGGTAATTTTTCTTGGGAAATGTCTGGTGAGGGTCCAGGAAATAGCAGTCCGAGTCTTCTGGGGAATCTCAGAAATTTTAGATTTCAGAAGAAGAACGTCAAGAAATTAATCATGTGTGAGTTCTCTTTATTACTCATTATTATTATTATCTCGATGGAGAACCCAAGGAGCACCTCCTGGTGCAGATTTATTCATTGAAAATCTTAATTTTTTTACTCTAGCTGATGATGACAGCAATCTGACGAGCCCTGAAGTCCTACCGAGGAGAAAATGCGTTAACAGAATCGTTGATAGTGATGAGGACACCTCGGAGGGGCCTAGGAAAATCGTGGAGGATGAGGAGGAGGACGAAGGGGTCGAGAGGGAGAGGAAAATGAAGTACCTGAGTGGAGAGTATCCAGACATCGAGTCCTTCGTGAGCACTTTGTTCATTATCTCAGGATTGGCTGGGTTTACAGAAAAATGTCATATGACATTTTTTGTCCGGAATCTATTCAGCTACAAGAAGTTCCTCTGACATTTTTCTCTAAATACTCTCCTTCTCTGGATAAAAAGAGAATTAGAAGCTAAATTCGATTTGGAATTTTCTTTTGGTTAAAAAAAATATTGACATTTTTTTCTAGAAAATTCGAGAGGTCTTGACTGAGACCAATTGGAACACAGAGGAAGCTAGGACTACTCTCAAGGCTTACAAAAAACGTCCCATAAAGAAATCGAAAAATTCGAGGAAAAAACGACGGAGAAGGGATGACGATGAGGAAGAGACGAATATTGACTCGGACGAGGCGACTTATACTAGTAAAGTATTTGATAGTGATGATGACTCAGATGCTGAGATCTCGAATGATCTTACGGGAGATAAAAAAGCCGTTTTGGGATTCATGCAGACTGCCAGAATGGCTGAGCTACTGCTCATGCATCAGTGCTCGCAGAAAAAAGCTCAGGCGATCATCGATGCCAGACCCTTCGAGAACTGGAGAGATCTTGTTGAGAAGTTTCAGACAAGCAAATATCTCGATACTGAACTTCTCAATTCAGCACAGAATCTACTCGCCACCAGGATCGTCGTCGAGGTGCTCATGAAGAAGTGCCTGAGATTATCTGGTAATTTTTTATTAATTTTTATTAATTAAATCTCTTTTTTATTAGATCATTTTTGATAATTCCGAAATTTTTATATAAATGTGTCAATTATAATTCTGTATTCATTTTTTTCTATTTAAAAAAAAAAATAATTTTTTATACACAAAATATAATTAATTGTTTATTTTAAAAAATTGATTTTGTTTAATTATTTTTTGGGAAATCTTCGAACATGCAATTGATTTGATTAATTTCAATTAATTATTCCTTCCTTTGATTGAAAAATGGTTTTTAAATTTTTTCTTAAAAAATAAAAATAAAAATCAATATTATTTAAAAATACAAATATTTCTTATGAAAATCTATATATTTTTTTGAGGTCCAGAAAATGCAGATAATTCTGACTATTCACTTTATAAATTTCCAAGAATTCGACAAATTTTTGCGATTATTTTTCCTCCTGTCAATTAATTATTTCATTCACTCGATTAATAAAATAATGAATAAAAAATCGATAGCAAACATGGAGAAGGCGGTATCAGCAGGATCCCACATGATCCCAACCCAGCCGTCAACACTATCTCCAGAGTTGACCCTGGCCCCATACCAGATGGTGGGTCTAAACTGGCTAGCAGTGATGCACTCCCAGAACGTCAACGGAATTCTCGCAGACGAGATGGGTCTTGGAAAGACAGTTCAGATAATCGCTTTCTTGACGTACCTGAAGGAGACATCACTGTCGCCCCCAGAGGGTCCCCACCTGATCGTGGTGCCGAGTTCGACGATGGAGAACTGGTCAAACGAGCTCTCTCGCTGGTCACCATCCTTGAACGTTGTCCAATACTACGGCTCCCAGGACGAGCGCAAATACATGAGAATGGGATGGAGAAACGGAGACCTCGACGACGTCGATATCCTCCTGACGACTTACAATTTAGTGTCATCAACACCAGAGGAGCGGAGACTCTTCAGGGTCCTCCCCATCGAGTACGTAATCTTCGACGAGGCCCACATGCTCAAGAACATGTCGACAATTCGTTACGAGAACTTAGTAAGGATAAATGCTAAACACAGGATCTTGCTGACAGGAACACCCCTGCAGAATAATCTCCTGGAGCTCATGTCACTCCTCATCTTCGTGATGCCCTCGATATTCGCTGGGAAGCAGAACGACTTGAAGAGCCTCTTTGCCAAGAATCCAAAGCTCCAGAGCGAGAAGAAGAGCGAAGAGCTGCCACTTTTTGAGCAGGAGCAGGTGAAGAATGCTAAACAGATCATGAGACCTTTCGTCTTGAGGAGACTGAAGTCCGAGGTCCTCAGGGACTTACCCACCAAGACTGAGGAGGTCGTCAGGTGTCCTATGATCAAGAAACAGAAGGACCTCTACCAGAAGTTAATCGAGGAGTTCTCAGAGGAGGCTGGAAGGTCTGCTGAGGTCAATGGTGTAGGGATGATGATGCAACTGAGAAAACTCGCTAATCATCCTGTTCTCATCAGGGATTACTACGACGAGGACAAGCTCGAGACCATCTCCAAGAGGCTAGCAAAGGATCCATCGTACAAGCAAAAGAATGCACAGTTTATTTTTGAGGATCTCGTCTGGATGAGCGATTATCAGATTGCTGAGCTCACCAGGGTCCACAGGTGTCTTGGTGGCTTTGCCCTGCCTCAGGAGATCATCCCTGAGTCTGGGAAACTCAAGATGCTGGATGAGATGCTCCCCAGGATCAAGACCGAAGGTCATAGAGTCCTCATCTTCAGTCAGTTCACAATGATTCTGGATTATCTCGCGGAGTACCTCACCATGAGGGGACATGTGTTCCTCAGGCTCGATGGACAAACACCTGTCGTTGAAAGACAGGATCTCATCGATGAATTCACTAATGATCTGGGAATTTTTGTATTTCTTCTTAGCACCAGAGCTGGGGGACTTGGGATCAATCTCACTGCTGCTGATACTGTGATTATTCATGATATTGATTTTAATCCGTATAATGATAAGCAGGCGGAGGACAGGTGTCATCGCGTCGGTCAGACCAAGTGAGTTTTTCTTATTTGACATTAATTGATTTTTTATCAACATCAAGGTTTTATTGAATTAATAAATAGTTTTTTTGGAATTAAAAATATGATATACTCGGGAGTGAAAAATGAAATTCATTCAATTTTTGTTTACTTTATTCATTTGTTTACTTCTGCACGTTGTAAACAAATGGAAAAAATCATGAGTTATTTCATTTATTTCATATTTATTTCATTAATTCTTTGTTGTTTTTGTTTAATTATCAAACAATTTAATTGAATTAATTCTGGTATTTATGTTTCCTTTTATTTTTTTTTTATGAACGAATAAATACCAGGATTTATTAATAAATTAATGGATAATGTAATAAATTGAATGAATTATAATTATAAAGTAAATCGATGAGTAAAATAAGATGTTAAATACATTTGAATTTTTGTAAATTTAGTTACTTTTAGTTGTAATTTTTATTTTACCGTTAGACCAGTGAATATAATTCGATTGCTGTCGGAGGGGACGATTGAGGAAGGGATGTATGAAGTTGCTCAACAGAAGCTCCACCTGGAGCAGCAAATCACTGGGAACGAAGGTAAATTCATTTCTCTAGAAATTATCCTCATTATTCCCTCAATTATTCACACAAGTTTTAATTAATCTTCCAGAGAATGAGAATACGGATAAAAAAAGTGTATTAAAACTGCTCAAAATAACACTGGGGCTGGACCCACACAATAAAATAGTGTCAATCTCACCCTCGAAGACGCCAAACAAATCTCAACATGGATTCAACGACAGCGAATTCTAGTAAACAATTTAATCATATTTTAATATTCATTTCTAGATGAAATTCAAGCAGCCCTCACTATTTATGAATTTATTTAATCACCCTATAATTTATAACACCGCATAATTCTCGAAAAAAAAGACAAAAGCACGAGATAAAATTGTACGAACACTTTTGCATTTTTCTATGGTTTTAATTCAATTTCTAGATTTTTATTGCATTGTAAATTAATGTATACGATCATGCCAGTGTAAACAAAATTGTACTGCAAAATCGGCGAAGCAATAAACTTGAAGTCACCGCAATTTATGGATTTTTCATTAATTTATCACTGTTTATTCCATCAATTTTATTTATTATCCTGAATGAACGTAAAAAATTGAAAAAATGGAAACAATTTCCACTCAATACAAATGTAAGAAAATTATTAATGCTTAATGAAATTAAATGAGGAAGAGTGACGATGATGTCTGAGTATTTTATGACATCCTTTTATCACAGGACATTAAATATTTCATAGAAAAAAAACTTACTTAATCAATAAAAAATTATTATCTGGCGCCTGGCCATGAAAAAAAGATTCCTCTCTTCAATTCCCTCGCCAGGAAACTTTTTCCTTTGGATTTCTTAGGCACTGGATGGTCATCTCAATGATATAAAAGCTTTTGTTACAGAATCAACGTAAATTCGATATTAAACTTATCGTTTTTATCAGTCTAAGGCACTTCAACGGCTTATCTCCAGGGTTTCCGGACAGCACCAGCACTTGTGCTTCTCTTTATACCTCTGTCTGAAATTATGAAGACAATTCGTTCAAATCAAGAGGATTAACAATTTTTTAAAATCAATTTTACGTCCATTTCCCACAAAAAACTGCCAATCCACAAAATTTCAGGATTATTTCTGTTGAATATCTCCGAAGATGAGGGACATACAGCCTTTTCGTACAAGACTTTTTTGTAGGTCTGAATTCGCGCTACAAAAAAGTTCTGATGATAAAAGTCGTATCTCCATTAGATCGGGAGATATTCTGGGAAATGGAGGGAAAAAATGGAATTCATGAGTCGAGTGATTCTTACAGACAATTCCTGGTGATTTTTTATCTCGATTATTCGATGTCCACGTCTGACATCTACTCCTCGAGGTGCTGTGAGTCTCTGGCAGTTGAAAAATTCCTAATCTGTACCATAAAATAGATAAATAAGAGAGTGACAGATTTAGAGAATAGAAAAAATGATTTTCGTACTCTTTCAATTTCTTTCTGGCTAGTGTTCTCTGCGTGGCAAAGGACATGGACGACCTGGCTGAGGAGGGACGCTCCATCCTCGCTTTCTTAATCTGCCTATCGTGCCCTATAATTTCCATTCTCTTGGAAGAACTCTGTGAAAATAATTCAACGATATTCATCGATGCAGCGTCACACTGGAGTTGCAAACGCTTGTGAAAATTCAACTCTGGCAGTTCTAATGGTGCATCTATTGTCAATTTTAACATACAGTGGAGTGCCTCTCTGTAAGTATTTTTCAATGCAATTATTTGCTCTGTTTTCATCATTCTACGAACCAGAAAGCCACGAGCATAGGCATTTATCACTGTTGCTGCTTGTACCTGAAAAACAATTCACATTCATCCATCGGTAATTACCTAACCAATAGTCCTGGCAAAAAAAACTCATAAGATATTTTTCATAGAAAATTTAATTCCCTTCAAAAAAGTTCTTATCACTCACTCCCCTAGAACTCACTGTTTCCCCGAAAAATTCGCAAGACTCAAAAAACACTCGATTATAAAAATTAATAAAATTCCATATTATTCACGTTCAATTATCTCGGCAACGAGTGGTCCTAGAAAAAATAACAAAAAGATCTTTTTTGTAGAAAATTAAATTCCCCAAAAAAAAGTTGTTATCACCCACTCCCGTAGACCCACCCATTCTTCAGTAAAATCCCCAAAACCACTCACATGTCTCTGATCGTAATGTCTCCCATTGATCAACGGCATTCTCTGGATCTGCGCTTCCAGGGGGAAGAGTTGTCGGCTGACGGCCTTGATCTTGCTCTCAGGACTCACCTCAAGGCCGCTCTCCCCCATATTGATGCTCACACTCCCGTCAGAATCGAAGGAGCTCGAAAAATCCTCGTTCCTCCACTTCCTCTCACCCTCGACCCTCTTCACCAGCTCCATGATCGAAATCCCAGGAAAACTCCTGTCGATCTGCTCCAGGAGCATCAGCTGCTGCTTTTCAAACGCTTGCTGCATAAATGCCTGCTCTCGTTGCTGGCGCTCGATCAAATCCGCCATCTGCCTGTCGTGAGTCCTCTGGATCTCCCTAAAAACCCCCAGAAGTCTCTCTGAAGTTCCCGCTTCGAAATCAGTAGTGTCCAGACTCTTCGTCATCCTCTCGTCAGGCTCCTGACTCTGCATCTCAGACGAACCGTTCAATAAATCCCCCAGGGATCCCCCCAGCTTCTTATCTCCAAAGCAAAACTCCTTTGACTCCACGTTACGATTTTTCCTATCGAAATTTCGATTCTGCTCTGACAGGTTTCGATTGGTTGCCTCAAAATTCTTTTCGATTATTTGACTCGTATTTGTCCCTGAATTCTGATTCTTATCAATATGATTTAGATTTTGAATTTTCTCAGAATTTGACGATTTCCTGAGATTTTCATTCTCTTTATCTAAATTTCGATTATGAGAGCTAATACTTTGATTTTGACACTCGAAATTCCGATTTCCTGATGAATTTGAGAAATTTTTATCAGGATTCGATTGTCTCCTAGTTAAACTTCGATTTCTTTCATTTGAATTTCGATTTTTATCATCGAAATTCCGAGTTTTAACTTCATTACTGGACTTGGACCTCTCCAAAAGTCTGAAAGTCTTCGCCGTAGAGGAAAACTGGGAATGAATGGACTCCAAAGATCCGTTGACCCTCCGAGGTGTTCCGGAGGTGTCACAAGGATTTTCCGCCTCATCCTGACACTTCCACTCATTTCTCGGAGCACTGACCCCCCACTGCCTCTTCTTCGGGGATTCCTGGAGGTTCCTGGAGGCCGTGGGGACGTAGGGGGGTCTATTCAACTCAATGTGAGCTAGAAGCATTGGAGATGGTGTGTCTAGGGTGTAAGAGCCCTGTCTGACGAGTTTTCTGGGCTCCTGGATGTTCTGAATGCTCGAAGACGACTTGGATTTCTTCAGGGACTCTAGAGTTATTGGAATTATATCCAGGGACGTGGGAATCCGCGGCTTTGAGGGCTCCGAGGACGTCTCGGAGGTGTCCGAATGGTGCACCAGGTATTTATTCAAGTCCGTGGACTTCGTGAGAGTTGTCTCATCATCGGAGAGCGTCTCCTCGGTTTTCGACCAGGTTTTCGAGGACTTTCGAGAGATTCTCGGGGTTGAAGAGGTTTTCAGGGTCTCAGGGGAATTCTCGGGGGTCAGACGTTGACGTGAGAGTTTCTCTTCCAGGGAGAGGGCCAATTGCTTATAGTACGTCATCTCCGAACGCAATTCTTCTGTCATCTTTGGAGAACAGAAATTTAAAATTAGTGGTTTTTTAAACCCTGTAAATGCTCCGATAATTATTCGAGAACCGCTGAGTGGATTTCAATCATTTTTTGCTGGTTCTAGAGAGAATTTTTTAGCCTTTAGAATAAATTTTGACTTGACGCAATCGCATCATTGAGTTGTGAGATATCGAAGATTTAAATCAGTTTTTTAATTTTGAAGTGAGATCTGAATTGAGGTGGATAGCTTTTCCAGGAATATCTCCGAATCTACGAGAGAGAGCGAAATTTTTGTGAAGAACTTTTTTGTAGCTCTAAAGGAACTCTAAACAAAATGTCCCAATGAAAATTCCGCTCTGTCTCGCAGATTACGAGGAATCCCCTTAAAACCCCAGCAGTCGTGACCAGTCCCGAAAAAAACCTCTGAATTGTCTTTCTCTGAAATAAAAAATCTTAATAGCTTGAAAACTCACCAAAGGCGGGAGAATTGGAACCCCCCTGATCCTGATGCAGCTGGTGTACTCCATAATTTCGTTCCAAATTTTTACAAATCCCCACGAAACTCCACTACCTCAACTTTTTCTCATTCTTCCCTAAAATCTCTCTCAAAACACCGATTTCAGACTAAAAATTTTTGTCTATTTTAGGTTAAGAATAACAAACAAGCATCATCACGAACTGAAGCACCAAGAGCAGAGATTATAGAGGAGATCAGCAACGCTTATGACGAAGGTTAAACAGCGATTGTCGTAGCGGCGGCTACGGAACTAAAACAGAGGCCGCACCCGTGAATAAAACAGGGCACGAGACGGAGAGTGTCGATCAAAGATGATTGACTAAAGTAGAGGCTCAGTTCTGCGTTACGAGATTGCTATTCACTGAAATTTTGGTTTGTTAGTTGGTTGGTTGGTTGATCTGGTTGGTGGGTTGGTTGGTTGATCTGGTTGGTTGGTTGGTTGGTTGATCTGATTGGTTGGTTGGTTGATCTGATTGGTTGGTTGGTTGATCTGGTTGGTTGGTTGGTTGATCTGGTTGGTTGGTTGGTTGGTTGATCTGGTTGGTTGGTTGGCTGGTTGGTTGGTTGGTTGGTTGGTTGGTTGGTTGATTGATCTGGTTGGTTAGTTGGTTGCATTAATACCTTATTCGCGGGTATGACCTCCGATTTAGTTCCGTAGCCGCAGCTACGGAAATCGTTATTTCGAAAACGATCAGAAGATGATCGCCACGACATCTATCCTTCCACGTCCTCCCTAAATCCCCTTTCCTCCGGAGATACAGCAGAATCTACTCCGAAAAAAATAAAAACAGCTGTTCAAAGTCCCAAAAAAACGTTTAAAAAAATTTTGCAACGTCGATAAAACCCCCCACAACTCAAAATATAATCAAAAATACTTGGATAGTGCGGTTGGAGTATGAAATAGCGTTGATAATTTTTTTTACGAGGAGATACCAGAATTTTCTAGAGCTAGTGTCAGGGGTATTTAAGCTGTTGGCACAGGTTGTCTGCGCAGTATTATTTTTTTTGACAGAACAGATGTGTGACCGTCAGAGAATTGTTGTGGTATTTTGTTGACAAGATTATCGAGAATTTTCCTCGGTTGAACATGAATTTGGATTATGATCCCTCGATTCAGGGTTTCGAGAGGTTCTGTCGGTGCTCCAAGGCATGTAAATGTGGACAGGGGACAGGTGAGTTATTAAAATCAAACAATCAATTATTTATATAATTTTTTGGATTTATTCCAATTATCTTTCAATTACTACTTCATGAACTTTTTTTTCAATGATTTTTGATTCTCCAGAGCACGAGTGGTCGTGGGACGAAAAACTGGTGACGAAAACTGCAGAACTTTCAGAACATAATTTAGAAGTTAAATTTCACCCTGGATATAGCAATGGTACTGCTGCAGTCAGGGGGAATCGAATCCTGGATAAAGACAGACATCATTATTGGGAAATCAAAATGCTGACGCCTATTTATGGAACTGACGTGGTAGGTGTCATTTTTGAAATCACAATTGATTAGTGCCCTGTGATCTGAAAACCGATGGATTCCGGGGAAAATACCAGAAGACTTTTTTGTAAAAAATTTCATAAAGAACATAAAAAATCTTATCACTTTTCCTCCTAACATCACCCTAAATCGAGATAATTACTCATATACAAAATCAATTGTTCTTAAATCTCAATTTCTTCAACAATGAGAATTTTCTCTTATCATTCATGATCATTTTATTTCAATAATGACTCACTTTTCGAAAAGTCTTCATAGAATATTTTTTACGGAGAATTCCATAAGCTATAAAACATTCATCTTACTTTTTCCTCTAAATCCACTCCCTGCGGAGATAATCACCATTTCCAAAGGTCCTCTCCGAGGAATACCCCTCAGAAGAAGACAAATTGATGTTGTATCCATTCAGATGGTTGGCGTAGGTACAGAGAAAGCTCAACTCGACGTTTGGGAGAAGTTCTGCTCGCTCCTGGGGATGACGAAGGACTCCTGGGGTTTCTCCTACACAGGGAGGATCCAGCACGCAGGGGAATCACGACATTATGCTATGCCCTTCGGCCAGGGTAGTATCGTCGGGGTGCACTTGGACACCTGGAGGGGAACCCTTCAGTTTTTCCTGAACCGAAGACCCCTGGGGATCGCTTTCACAGGGCTCAGGGGCCTCCAGCTCTATCCCATGGTCTCATCCACAGCTGCCAGGAGTTCTGTCCGGATCACCCACAGCTGCTCTGCCCCAGCATCACTCCAGATGGAATGTCTAGCTCTCCTGAGACCTTTCCAGAAGCGTTACCTCACCGTTATTTTTCCTGGACTCAAGTACCTGACGCAGAGCATTCTTGCAGATGTTTTATCAATTAACCGAAGTATGTAATTCATTTTTTTTTCATCAATTTATTATTAAAAACAATGATTAAATATTGATTGAGTATTATCAATTAATATAGTGTCAACAAAACAATTTAATTCTATTCAATTTTAATTTGATATAATCTTCATTTGACTTCGGTTTTATTTTTATTTTACACGGATTTTTTATCTTTCAGATGACGACGAAGACGAGGACGAGTACGAGTTCCCAGAGGAGCACCTGATCCTCGACGACTTTGACTTCGCCCTTGTGGGATATGGAAGAAGAAAAAAAAAGCGACGAGTCATATTTCCAGAAACAGAATCTCTGGAGATCTCCCCCTGATAGACAATTCCATAATTTTTTTGTAATTAAAAATTCTATTCAATTTTTGGTCTGGCATATATGATTTGTCGGGTTTTCCCATCGTCACCCCCAACCCCTTGCTCCGCCCCACCCTCTGTACCGCAGACCTTACCTGAGGGAAAAGTTTTGATCAAGTACAGTTGTCTCTTTTCCGAGACTTCGCTATCGGTTTTAAAATAATTATATTTTATCTTTATTTTTTCATTTACACCTGGCACAACTCAGTTCACAACCCACACATTATTTAAAATTGTATCATAAAATATTGTTGATCATGCTTCCTGATAATTAATAAACGAAAATGAAAAAAATTTCATGGTTTTCTCTTCAGCATTTCCAGTAATTATCCACTTCATTAGTCCTGCGATTATCTCGTTAATTGCTGGCGCTATCAAAAAATGTAACCAAACTTTTTTTTAGGGAATTTTCTCCCCTACGTAAAATCTCTTATCACTTAATCCCCTAGGATCACCTCCAACGGAGATAATTGGACTTATCAAAATCTGGACTCTGAAAAAATGGAAAAACCTCAGAAATCACTTCTTCCTCGTCTTCTTCACGGGACCCTGAGCCTCTAGGTCTTCCCCCGTCCTCTCCTGTGACTTGATTCTGCTGCAGAAGACGATAGCCTGTGCCCAGCCAGCTAGAGATCCCCAGGTGTCCCTGAAGAAGCGATTGATTTCCCCATAAACCCCAGAACTAGTGGAGAACTTCTTGAGACCTGGGAGGTACGTCTCCTTGGCGACCTGATAGATGTGTGTGTCCACGGGGATGGCCTCCAGGTGCCCCAGGGACATGAGGCAGATACAGTCCGCCACCTTTGGCCCGACCCCAGGTAATACCATGAGTTTTTTCCTGGCATCATCGTAGGAAATTCCAGAATACCTGTGCAAACTCTCCAGGAACTCGATGCCTCCCAGTTCCATCAACTTCTTCGCAGAGTTCCCGATGTACTTCGCTCTGTACCCAAATCCCTCCTTCGCCAGGACCTGAGGAACTTCCTCCTGGGAGAGATCCTCGATCTTTGGGAAGTCAAAGTAATTTTCCCCATCGACTTCACCGATTTTTCTCCCATAATTCTCGCACATCCTCTCTATCATCTTCGTGATCCTCGTGATGTGGTTGTTGGCGCTGCAGATGAAGGAGAAGAGATTTTCTGTGGGGTTCTGATCCAGGATCCTGACACCTCGTACCTGCGAGGAGAATCGAGAGAATTTCGGGTCCGATGAGCACCAGACGATGAGGTTGTCCCTGAGGGAGAGGTCCAGCCGGAAATACTTTTCTAACTGCTCCTTGCAGGCCTTGGAGGACTTCAAAGAGGAAGTGTGGACTGTGAAGAAGATCTGCGAGGAGTCCTGGTGCAGTGTCCAGATGGAGGAGGCGAAAACCCCCCGGTATTTATTCTCTGGGATCTCTTTCCATCTGGGGATTTATTATTCATGAAGAGAATCAAGAGAATTTCAGTTTTTTTTAATAATTACCTGAAACTTTGACCGCCCTTCAGGGTGATCCCCAGGTCCAGTTCACTAACATCGCAAGGAACTGTTCCAGAGAAGATTTTCAAAACAGTTTTCGCAGATTTCGACATGTTGTTCATTTTTAAATTGAGGTTATGAGGAAAATTCGATAGATAAAATTCGATTTAATGATTCCATTCCCCGAAAAATTTGTTCTTTCTATTCTTGAATTGACATATTTCCCCCCAAAAATTGTTCAATATTAAAATAAAATTAGCAATTGACTTCCGGTGTCTTCAGGAATTGGCGGGAAAAGGAATAAATCGAGAGAAAGAACGGGTTTTAATCTTTTGCTTCTGAATGGAAGGATCACCGTCGTTCGGTTTTTCCATTTTTTATCTGAATTATCTGTGAGAAATTACGATACCGTCTTTGCAATTTTTCGAGTCGAACCCGTAATCGAAATTTTTACTAAATATTTCTCTCCATGGGATGAGATGAGAGATTTTCGTGAGCCATCACAATAACTTCTGATTTTTTAAATTAATTAAAAATTACTCTCTGACACGTGATGAGTCTAGAGTACTATAATCTCTACTAATATGGACTTGATCTGTGCTAAATTTCATCTCGATAGGTCGAATAGTCTTCGAGATATTTCGATTGTTGTTTCTCGATCAAATTAATTGCACGCGATCTCTGATTTAAAAAAATCAACCAATCAACTTGTTTTATTTAATGACTCCCAATGATTCGGAATTCTAATCAATGAGTAATTTATCTTCCTTACATGCTGAAATAAAATTAAAAATTTACTTCCGGTATTTTTAAAAATTGGCGGGAAGGAGAATGAGTTACGACTGAAAAAAAGTTTTAAATTTTTTTATTGAATGACTGCCAATAATTCTGAATACTAAATAAATGCACAATTGATTCGTCTTTGCATGCATGTCCTATCAGTAATGAAGGTGTTATTTCTACGGAATGTTAATTGATATAGAAAACAAAATATATTGAAAGTCCATCTTCGATTCTCATGCGAAACATTGAGTTCCGGATAAATTCGCTAGAAAATATTCATCTCTATTGATCCTCTCGATCATTGACTCTTAATATTAACACTCATTTATCACTAGTTGATGAGACATTTCCCTCGAATATTCACAAATTATTGAATTATTAGTACGAATCCTATAAAATTTTTATTCTTAAAAAGATCGATATGTCCGATGTCAAGACAATTCTCACGATTTCCTCTGAATCTAGTTGTATTGTCTTTCGTAACAGTTTTTTTTAGACACACGTGAAAAATATTATAGAAAAACCTGACGGGCTCTCTAAATTAATTAGAAATTTTAATAATTTTATTTATTCGTTTAGTCAACGAATTCAATTTATCCTACAACAAAAAAATTAGATCTTGAAAAATAAAACAAAATCAACAGATTTAAGTAGTTACTATGACTAAATGATATGATCAATAAATAATTAATAATAATAGTTAATTATCTTTGATAATTCTGAATAGAATTTTGTGGGAGGAAATGAGTGGAAGATTTTTCTAGGATATTTTTTTGACACGTGAATTTCTTTGGTGTATCTCCGGGGTGGAGGGGAGAAATAATTTTTTTTTTTTGGGTTTCAGAGGTTTTTCATCAGTAGGGAACATTGTCTCGGAGGAATGCCTGTTTTTTGTACTTGTACTTCTCACATTTTCCCCACCACGACTGCCTGGTGCACACCTTTTGCGGTTTGAATACGAAACATTTTGTCTGGACCATATTGAAGAATATTTTACCCACGAAATTCGCTGATGACGTTCCAGCCAGTTTCAAACAGGTCCTGAAGCTGCAGAAGTTGTTCAGGTCAGTCGATAAAATTCAGGTTTACCTTTTAGTTACTTAATTAAAATTAATGGAAACATTCGAAAGAATTTTTCTTGTTAGTATTAGAGTTAATCTTTGAGATTGCAAGAAAAATATTGAATTTTGTTAATGAACAATTAGTTAATGTTAATATTCAATGATTGTCTCATTCCGCAGAAGATACGACAAGACAAGTCATTAAAAATGGCGTCACTCGGAGGGATTATTCAATCTAATCTGTCGTATTATCTGATCGGATAACCGATTTCGAGTGATAACCGGTTTTTAATGGATATCTCGGAATCTACGGCAGGTAATGAAATTTGTGTAATGACCTTTTTTGTGGAGATACTTCGGTTCTATAGAAAAGGGTATTACGAAAATTTCGCTAAATGAGGTAGATTTTGAGATATTCAACGAAAAGTCAGGTTACTGGGAATTTAACAGATTTCAGTAGCGAAGCGGTAAAACTTGAGTCGATTTAAAAAAATATATGGATTTATCAGTGAAATTGACTCTCGAGGATATAATACACTTCTCACGCAAACGGCTCGAGCCTCAGAACAAATCTACTGACTTTTTTGTAATTAAAGAAACTGGGTGAAGGTCAATGGCTCAAAAAGAAATAGTATATTGTGCATCATGGGCGGGAAGTCAGTGTTTTCCCAACCGAGGCCCACCTGCTATTTTTCAATATGTCTGCAAAGGAAACTGCGTATTTTGCTAGCTGAAAAGCAGGAGGCAAGTGAATTATTTCCGCCCTAGGGTGGAAAGCGAATTATTTCCGCCCTAGAGTGGAAAGTGAATTATTTCCACCCTAGAATGGAAAGTGAATTATTTCCGTCCTAAGGTGGAAAGTGAATTCTTTCCGCCCTAGAGTGGAAAATGAATTGTTGCCGCCCTAGAGTGGAAAGTGAATTCTTTCCGCCCTAGGGTGGAAAGTTACGCCCAAGGGTGGAAATTTGGAATTCTATCCTTTTAGCCTATAATATATTAAAATTTCGGATCAAAAAGTAATGGAAAAAAAGAAGAAAAATTATTGATGGCCATTAAATCGCAATATTTATCGAAAAGTGAAAACTTTGGTTGCTATGAGTCAGTTGACCTGAAGAGGCAATAGGAGAATGATATAATCTAAATCCGTTTTTATTATTTACTAATTCCTGTCGATAATCCAATAAAATCGGACAATCTCAAACAGAAAGCACTCGTTTTGCAGCCACGTTTTTGTTCAATACAAAAATTTAAACAAAAACTGTCGAGTATTTTACACGCCAGCAATCTTAGACCGTTCAACCGATTCGCTACGGATTTCGGAAAGTTAATGAGTTTCATGACATACGATAAAAGGCTTACCGCTCATCGCACGAGCAATGCATGAGCGTGGATATACGCCAATTTGCGAGGCCATAGCGTGATCCAAGCGCCGGTATCCAAAATCGACAAGCTGTATCGTGTTTTCTGCAGCATGCGTCGGCTTTACCAAAACCACCGAGATTGGTGTATTTGGTGGCGTGATTACCCCTACCACACCATTTTGTCCCGGGTATCATAAAGACATCTCGTTTTCTTCGTCTTCCCTCTCCCGAGATTGTCCCATTTTTGCATTCTCTGTCAACGTGGTATCATTATCATTCCATTCGAAAATTGAAATCGGTGAAATAACGGAAAAAACTTTCTAATCGTCCGATATCGTTCTGAATTGGAGATCTCCAAATTTATGATTTAATTTTCAACTTCTTTCGTTAGATATTGGAGATACAAAAAAAAAATGCGAATCAAACATGTATATCAATCCTTGGGGAACATTTTTTGTTTCAAACATTTTTTCGTATCTCCAATCGTTCACGGTAAAAATCGTATCCCGTAAACTTCCTAAAATCGGAATCGATGAAATTCGTACATAAAAAACTTCTTCAAAGATTGCCCGATATCTTTGCAAATAACAGAGATGCGAGAAAAACTGATAAATTCAAATTTACGTATTTTCGCTCGAGGGAAAACATTTGTTCGACACTTTTTCTCATATTTCGAACGGTTTCCCCATAAAATTCGTAATAGTTCAACTTCTCAAAATCAAAAATCTGGTAAAATTACAACAAACACTCTTAAACAGCTGCCGATATCTCTCCAGATAAAAGAGATACGAAAAAAAGCGATAAACTCAAATTTGCGTACTTCATCCCGAGAAGTAACTTTTGTAAGAAACTTTTGTTCATATTTCCATTCGTTCTCCCGCAAAGCTGCGCTAAACAGGACGACCCCTTGAACCCCATGCGTTGTTAAAGCCTCATTATCCATCTCAATCCGTTGAAAGCAATTCACATGCAAAGAGTTCTCGCTGATTTTTACCTTTGGTCACAGCCGCAGTGGCTCAGTGTGAATGGCATGTAATTCCAAAAATTGTAACGCTCAGAAAAAGGTGGTATTGAACGACAGCAGTGATCGTGACGTCTACAGCACCTGTCCAAAGTGTCTAGTCCTCCGAGATCTTTGTAAGAGGCAGCAGTTCGATGTGGTCCACACCATTTTGTCCCTGGGGCTATCACCATCTGCTGGAGGCTCCTTTCCACCCTCCTGCAGCCCCCAAAAATGTCGGGGGAAAAAAAGTCATTCCTTTTCGATATCAATCAGCATCTCACTCAAGCAGAACAGTTTCAAATATTCATTTCAAAAGATAAATCTGCCATTGGTCCCTATGTTTCAATTATCCCCAGAAGAAATACTCGTTTATTCATTTATTATTATTATTATTATTATTATTATTATTATTATTATTATTGTCATTTTAATTATCGTGTTATTGATGGACGTATTGAAAATTGAAGTCATTCATTCGGAATGAAATGCTTTGATATTATATTTGAAAAGTTTCTGATGGAAATTCAAGTATTTTGTGAGATATCCCCTAAAATATCTCAAATTAATAAATAATGAATAACAATAATAATTGAATTTTTCATATTCGACAAGTGTGTTTTTATTTTTTTGTTATTCATAAATTATGCTGTATTGCCGATTGATATTTATAATTTGATTGACACAATCCATTGTATGGTTCTGGAATTAAAATTTCGATCAGGTTCAGATCAGGATTTGATCAGGTCAGTCGTGATAATAGATCAGGATCTGATATGGTAACTTGATCAGGTCAAACAGTTCAGGACTCAATCAAGTCAATATTATTTAAACTGGATGATGCGAATAAACAATAATCATTAGATGAAGAGAAAATAATAAAATTTTCTGACTACAGTTTACTGAAAAAAATGAAAAATTCTTCACCGTCTCTGAAACTGTTGCCTAAACAAATGGCTTCTGGCCCTGGAGCTGATCCCGTGACACCTCCTGACCATCTCCGAAGAGCTAGCAAGCCAATCGAGTACAGAAGGTGCTTGACTCCCCCGAATAATCCACTTGTACCTCTGGTCCTGGTCGTCAGTTCCACAGATATTCTCACTTATTGATCTTACGTCTATAACGTCCACGCATTCGGTCAAATTATCACCCTCATAAATCAGCTGCAGTCTCTTCCCATTCTGAAGCACCAGCTCCCTCAGTGCGACACTCGTCTCCCTTTTATTTCACCACCGAAAAACAGAGGAGAAAAGAATAAAAAAATATATATTCGATAATGATGTCTTCTCTCATCGATTTACTATTATGATTGTCGTAACCAGAGGGAACATAAAGAATCTATTATTTTTACGTCTCCACCATTTATTTTTACTATTTCGGTGAAGCTTGTCGATGTCTGCAGATAATAAATTCACGGGTGATTTAATTCACGCAGTAAAAATGCCAATTTTTGCAGAATGATTGATGACGCGGCCATTTTTTCAACCAGAAATTCTGGATTTTCATCGTGGGTTGGGGGAATGTTGGGCAGATGGTTCTCGCCGATATAAGGAAGGATTCTAATCCTGATGGAAGGATTTTAATCCGTCGAAAGCGAAAACATTGACGCGGTCAAGAGCTTTAGATACTCAGCCGCGTGAGAGATTCGGCAGAAGTGAAAACATGAAGGATGTAATCTCAGGGATTACTTAACTTGGCACTTGTGAGGATTAGATTGATTGGTTTTTCAGTCAGAAATAATAATCGATGGTTTTACTGAGATAGAATTTCATTACTCATGCACTCAGTCTCATAGGAATTCTAATTGCCGTGAAATGAATTAATTTCATGCTTTGCGAGTCTCTAGGCAGTGAAGTACGACTTTACTGCCTAGACACTAAAACTGGAATTTTCAATCAATTTTATTTTATGGATTTTTATTACGGCCAGCTGTTATGAAATGTTTAATCTATTTCAGTAGTTTTGAAAGTGTCAGGACAGTAAAGTACGACTTTACAGCCTAGGCATAAAACTGGAATTTTCAATTAATCCTTTTTTAGGGATTTTTATTACTTCTGACAGTTGTGGAATTTTTTATTTGTGTCATTCATTTTGAATGTTCCAAGGCAGTAAAGTGAGACTTTACAGACTAGGCATGAAAAATAGCATTTGTAGGAAATTTAATTTGCAATATTTTGATCGAATTTTAATTACTTGTAGTAGTTGCAAAAAATTTAATTGATTTAATCAATTTTTAGAATCTCGGGGCTCGAAAATACGACTTTACAGACAAGTCTGAAAACAAAAGTTTGCAATAATTTTATTTAAGGAGTTTAGGACATAATATTATTAAGTTCCCGGCACTCTCATTCACTTTCTCAAGACAATATTTTAATACTTTAGATTCTAGGCATAAAAAATTATGTTTATGCGAAAAAAATAGATCCTAGGCCGCAAAGATCACGTTTTTACGGTTCGATCAGAAACGACTTGAGTTAAAATATTGAATGGTATTATCGTATCAGATAGAATTGATGTTTACCCCCAATCCAGAATAGTTTCTCTCCCACAGATGCCGCGGTAATGGAATATTCTGCTGGTCTCACCGTCTCGCAACAACTTCGTGACAATGAAGTTGTCTGTCGAGTTGATAATTCGACTTTTCTCATCTGACAGAGCGCCGACGAGTGGCAACAACAAGATCAATCTCACTACCGGTACCAGACACCGGTTTCTGTTCCAACTCTTTCGACTCAGTACAGAACACATTTTTATTTATATTTTTGCACGTTTTCCCGATATTTTCTTTCTTCTTCAACGACCGCAGGAATTTCCCGTGGCATTCACTAGTCGCGCGGGCATTTCTTTCATTCACAAAGTTCTTCAAGCATCATCATAAAAATCCTCAAGCCGGAAACTCTCGAAAACCGGGTGAAGTGGACACCTTACGGAACCAGAAAACTAAAATGTTCTCGGGCCATTCAACGGTACCCCAATGACCCCCACTCTTTACTCATCATCTCTTCATTTCTTCACTGAAAAAGCCATCGAAATTGCTTCACTCCACTTAAAAAATCCGCAGTCACTATTCAAAAATCCACGAAATTAAAAATAAAAAATCGATAGAATCCAAATAAAAAAGCCTCTGAATATTTTTATTAAAAAAAAATCTGCTACACAAAAAAAATAATTGGACGATTTTTTAATTATAAAAATAAGAAAAAAAAAATTTTTTTCTATTTAAAAAAAGGGAATTGATTGGAATTGATGTTTTTTTTTTAATTTCTGTAAAAAAAAATATAAAAAAATTCTCGAGTGACACCTCTTGATTCGTTGATGCCTACTCTCCCTTAAACACTCGACTGATACTCAGGCCTACGTCCTGGCACTGTCCAGCATCCCAAAACAGTTGCCCACCACCACCAGGCAAAAATCCCCCTCGTGGTACAGTTGAATCGCGCGCTCCTGTGCCTTTTTCCGTTTTTCCCCACCACTTCCTGGGCGCCCGGAGGTGTGTGACAATTCTCCACCCCTCGTTCTCACTATTAAAATTTAAATAAATATTAAAAATCCAACAATGACGACTAAAAATTTAACAAATCAGAAATTTAAAATATATTTTTTTAACAAATTACAATATAAAAAAAAAATTATAAAATAAAAAATTGAATTAAATTATAAAATCTAAATAATTAGTTTTTATAATAAAAATTATTATTATTTAAAATATATTTATTCAATTCAATTCGATTTATGTCTTTTGTTGTTATAAATGTTTTTTTCGTTGTTTTTCATCATATAACAATATAATATAATTATAATAATATAATATAGATAAATTATAGTAATATATAGAAACAGATAGATTCAAGTTTTGAGTTTCAATATTGGTATTTTCATTTTGGATTTAGAAAAATATATTTGAAAAATAAACAAGATATATTTGACGCATTCAAATGGATTCAGGGGTGGAAATATGCGAAATGATTTCATAAAAAATAGTTAACAATAAAATAGGGAATTTCGAGAGAAACTAATGGACAGATTAGTATTCAGTGTTCAAAGGCAAGGGATAAGTCAGATATATGCAAAATGAATGTGCGATGTTATCTCGGAGTCATCCCATGGCATTTTTGGGGAAAAGGGGAGAGAAAGGGCAAGGGAGAGAGTGGAAAGGGGTAGAAATGTTGTGACTTGATGTACCATGTCCTTTCGCAGTCATAAATCTCAGTCAATTCCCCAGGGTCACCTCCGGGAACAGATCATAGAGATCACTGGGGATGCGCCGAATTTGAATGATTAAATAAACAATTTTCTCGTGTTTGAATATCTCAGGGGATGAGAGGCACTTCACAGAAAATTCTTCAGACAATTCAAGTCGAGTTTTCGAGGATTATCTCCGAATCTAAGAGAGATAGCCAATTTTTTTACATAACATCTTTTTTAGAGTGGAATGAGAGCTAGAAAAAAGGTTATTACGGAAATTTCGCTATCTTTCTTAGATTCGGAGATATCCCGCCAATCCTGGAGTGGCGAAAAGTCGTACTTTAGGGACTAGTCATGAAAACTGGATTTTACGGATAAATGAAATTTTGAACGCTTGAAATATGGAAAAGAAATGAAATCTTGAATTAAAATGTAAAAAATGAAAATATGAAAATTGATACTTCATTGTAAATAAACAATTCTTTCGTGTTTGAATGTCTCAGGAGATGAGAGGCACTTCACAGAAAATTCTTCAGACAATTCAAGTCGAGTTTTCGAGGATTATCTCTGAATCTAAGAGAGATAGCCAATTTTTCTTCATAATATCTTTTTTAGAGTGGAATGAGAGCTAGAAAAAAGGTTATTACGGAAATTTCGCTATCTTCGTTAAATTCAAAGATATCCCGCCAATCCTGGAGTGGCGAAAAGTCGTACTTTAGGGACTAGTTATGAAAACTGGATTTTACAGAGAAAATTAAATTTTTAACGCTTGAAATATTAAAAAAAAATAAAATATTGAAATAAAATATAAAAATTAAAAGAATAAACATTGATACTCCATTTAAATTTACCAGAAATGATAATGTCCAGAGCAGACATCAGGAGACGGTGCAATTTGCTCGCGTCATGCATTATCACTGGATGATGTAAATTCGGCGGGGATTCTATCAAAATCATAACAAAGAAGCTGCTGTCTACATTTTATTTATCCTGAACGTGACCCTCTGGTTTGCCACGGGACCCCCAGGTCACTGGTCAGCAGATAATGGGTAATGAACGAGGATAACCTGCGAGAATTCGAAGAATACCCGATTAAAAACAGTCAATCGTTAAAGTAATTCCAAAAAATCGGTTTTAACGACTGGAATATGCGAATGAATGAGTTTTTGTTGTCGAGAAGCTGCTGGAATTTCTGAGATGATGAATGAATTATAATATCTTCGAAAAAATATTATAATTATCATAATGTAAAAATGATTGTTATATTATGTAATATATTTTTTAAAAATATTGTAACGTGTTCATTGTTTTTTTTCCTTTTCAGGTATATCTGGTGCTCTTGTTCATTTGTATAATAATAAACTTATATTATTCTGTTGATATATTTTTTAAAATATATTTTTATCACCGTGTGCGGAAAAGTAACTTTTCAGGCATGCCAATCGGAGAGAATTAAAAAGTGACTTTCCCGCATATTGTGATGGAAATTATTGTTCGCGACTCGTGCAGAAAGTGAGTTTTGGCATGTGGTATAATCCCACACGCCAAAAATCACTTTTCTGCACTTGTTGCGAAATATACTATTTCAAATACGCGTCGCGTGCCTGAAAAGTATCTTTCCCGCACATTGTGAAAAAAAATATTGTTCGCAACTTCTGCAAAAAGTGATTTATGGCATGTGGGAAACCTTCTGCACGCCAAAAATTACTTTTCTGCACTTGTTACGAAATATACTATTTCAAATACGCTTCACGTACCTAAAAAGTGACTTTCCCGCACATTGAGAAGAAAAATATTATTCGCAACTTCTGCAAAAAGTGATTTACGGCATGTGGAAAGCCTTCCGCACCCAAAAAATTACTTTCCCGCACTTGTTACGAAATATACGATTTCAAATACACGTCGCGTGCCTAAAAAGTAACTTTCCCGTACATTGTAAAGAAAAATAATGTTCGCAACTTCTGCAAAAAGTGATTTATGGCATGTGGAATACCTTCCGCACGCCAAAAATCACTGTTCCGCACTAGTTACGAAATATCCTATTTTGTGGTATTTGAGGCAATGTTTGAATGAAAAAAAAACTGGTGGGCTGAACACATATTTGAACTCTGAGGTGAGGGAAAGTACCGAAATGAAAATATTGTACAAGTGGAAAAAGTGTAAATAATCTAGTGAAATATATTGGAGGACTTTTTTTTTATATATTTCCTCTTGAGTGGGGGAAATGGTTGAAGTAGGTGTCGGTAGGCAGTGGGTAAGGAGTGGACCCTCGAGTGATCCCGAACAATTGAGTGCCCGACAACTCGGAGTCACTTTTGAATGTAATTCCTTACCCCTCGGTTGAGAAAAAGGAGTCACCCCCGACTGTCGAGAGACCCAGGACAATGGACTACCATTTTCAGTCTTCCACGGTTTCAATGAATCTTACAATAAACCACTCACCGGTAAATTTGTTCGGATGATTTCGCGCTCGATAAATATCAACACTGAAAGACCAGAATTTTTCCTCAAAAAAAAAAATAAAATTCATTTTGAAAGACTCTACTCCTCCGTAGAAAATTATAAAAAAAAATCTATAATATTAACCGCTTGTATACATTTTTTTATGTTAATTATTTCTTACTATATTGTTTTGTTTTTTTTTGTGTGAGGAATATATAAATAAAAAAATATATAAATAATATATTTCAATTTTAATGAATAAATAAACATTTGATTTTCCAATTTTTTTAGAGATTAATTTCGTTTATTTATAATATCAATTAATCAATAGTTGATGATTATTATTAATTATGGAATGAATTACTTATTTAATTATCATTTTAATTATACTTTCAAGTAAATGAAGATATTTACTGAAAATATTTCGTTTATTTATGAAAATGCGTAAAAATTTCATATAAAATTGTAAATTTATTATTATTAAAAATAGAGAGCTACTTTCAAGTTTGTTTAAGGTCTCGCGTTAGAAAATTAGTGCTGAAATTCAAAGAGTAATTTTCCAAGAGTCAGTGATTACTCGTGAATTACGCAAATCGTGAATCCACTGGGTTTTTCCCTCAATTTTATTTTCAATTTTATTTTTTGCTCCTCGCTCTTTCACTCCGATGCACTCGAACCGCAAGAGCGTCAATTGGCGAGGTTCCAAGGTCGAATAATGTTATATATTTTTTCTTCTTTTGGGGCGCTGAGGAGGAACCGGAGATAAAAGTTTTTATACCGCTGGTCTGAGTTCTGAAAAGGCATCAGAGATGTGCGGTAATTGATTACTTTTTCATCAGGTAAGTGAATGGAGGGAGAAAGATTTTTTGAACAAATTAAATTTTCCATTTTCCACTCAAGAAAACAATATTTTCCATTTTTCGAGAATTCCTAGTGAAAAGAGAAAAAACAATACGATCATATTACAGACCTATATAAGTTTATATTTATTATAGTACACAGAAAAATACCGGAAAAATTACGGATCTTTCACGTATTCGTGGGGTGACCTTGGTTTAAGGGGAAAAAAACTGTAGGTTCCGT